GGACTCTATCCTGGGAGCAGGGACTCTGAAAAAGACTCGGGGGTCAGGTGGAGAATCAGCTGAACGTGAGATCCCAGGATGACGCTGTGGCCAAAAGAGCCAATGAGACCGTGGGCTGCATCAACAGGGGAAATTGCAAGAGGGAGTAAAGAGGTTATTTTATCTCTGTTTTTGTCACTTGTGCGACCGCTGCTGGGATCCTGTGTCCAGTTCTGGTGCCCACAGTTCAAGCAAGACGTTGATCAGTTGGAGAGGAGTGAGAGAAGAGCCACAAGAAGGATTAAAGGATTGGAAAACCTGCCTTCCAGCAATAGACTCAAGGAGCTCGATCTATTTAGCTGAACAAAGAGAAGGTGAAGGGGTGACTTGATCCCAGTCTGTAAGTACCTGCCTGGAGAACAAATATCTAATTATGGGCTCTTCAGTCCAGCAGAGAAAGGTCTAATGGCTGACCTGAACCATCCAGTGGCTGGAAGTTGAAGCCAGACAAATTCAGACTGGAAATAAGGGGCACATTCTGAACGGTGAGCGCAATTAACCTTGCGTCAAGGGTCGTGGTAGATTCTCCATCAACGACCGTTTTTAAATCAAGGTTGGCTGTTTTTCGAACAGATCTGCCCTAGGGATTATTTTGGGGAAGTCCTGACACCCTGGATGACACAGATCACAGGCTAGATGAGCTCAGTGGTCCCCTCTGGCCTGGACTGTAGGAGTCCACGTGGCTATGGTGCAAGTGGTATTCAGGGGCAGTGAGTTATATACACTCGGGGTGCCTGGGCTCCAGCCATCGTCAGCGCCCCGGGGCCCAGCTCCACCGTTGCTTGGGGGCGGGTCTCTCCCCCGGCCCCGCCTGCCACCCCGCCCCCCACACCTCCCCCCGAGTGTCCCCCGGCCCCCACTTGCTGCCCCCGCTCACCTCCCCCGCCCCAGAGCCTGCAGCTCACCCTGACTCTGCTCTGCCAGCTCCCCGCATCAACTGCTGCCGCAGGGTCCTAGTGCCCCCAATTCACTAACGGCAGGGCAGGCTGCCCTTCCCCTGCCCTTCCGCCCTAGCCCTAAGCCTCTCCAACGCCCCAAACCCCTCATCCCCCCGCACCCTAATCCTCTGCCCCAGCCCTGAGCCCCATCCCACACCCCAAACCTCTCATCTTCAGCCCCACAGCCCTCACCCCTGCACCCCCTCCTATCCCCAAACTTCCTCCCAGAGCCTGCACCTTCACCCCCTGCTACACCCCCACCCCAGCCCAGAGTCTGCACCCAAACTCCCTCCCAGAGCCTGCACCCTAGACCTCCGCCCCAACCCAAACTCCCTCCCAGAGCCTTAGGCCGGTGGGGGGGGGGGCGGAGTTTGGGGGGGGAGTGGGTTTTTGGCACCACCAAAATTTCTACAAACCTGTCACCCCTGGTGGTGGTGGAGAAAGAGGGGCTGGTTTCACATCTGATCTCCTGGGTGAGACACAGCGCTCAGGAGTGCAAGCCAGGCCAGTCCACTGCTGGCCAAACACAGGCCTCGAAGACCTCTCCCCTACAGCCCTGCCAGCCACATCTCACTGCCAATGAGACACTAGCTCCCTTCAGAGCCGTGGTGCTGGGCTGGCTGGGGGCACCTGTGATTTTCTCTGAGCTCTGCCAGAAATTGCCTGTCTCGGCTGATGCCCTCGGAGCTGGCCACAAACAGCCTCCACATTCGCCCTCTTGTCCACAGTCAATTTCATCCCTCCTTCCCTGCTTTGCTCTCCAGCCTTTAAAGCCTGCAGGAGTCCCCCAGATCAGCTCCGCTGTGGGGTGCATCTGCCACAGGGGCCAGTCCCAGCTACTGCAGAGGGGTGTGAGGACACCCACCGTGGTGGAGACAACGGATGCAGAGACAGGCCCCAGCTGCAGAACACGGATGCAGGTTTCAAGTGCCCCAGAGACCACATGGGGGGCTGGATCCCAGGGTTTGAATCGACCCATTTGGGGGAGGGGAACCAGCTGCAAACTTTGGATGCAGACTGCGGTTTCTCTTCCAAGCACCCATACAGTTCAGGGTGCTTGGGCCCAGGGGATGGGGGTCGGGTCTCAGCTCCAACCCTGACCAACTTCCAGGTAACTTGCTGCAGACACCTCCCCCGCCACCTGAGGGGGAAGGTACAAGGGAGCGAGACAAGGAGCCCGTGGCCCCAGGCTGAGGGCTGTGGCGAGGCCCGTGGGCCCCACCGTGGAGCAGCCTCAGTCGGGCAAGACGCCCCAGAAACAGGTGCCCCCTTCCCACGAGCTGGGACCAGCTCAGAGCCCTGGGTGGCCATGGCGCTGCCAGGCTGCCCCCTGGTGGCTACCTGCGGGAACTACAAGCTGGACTGGCCTGCACGGGACAGCGCCGCTGGGGGAGCAGATTGCCCTTTGCAGCCCCCCAGCCCGCACAGAAGGGGCAGCCCAGGGGCTGCAGAAGCCCCAGAGAACTTCGCTCCCGCTCAGGGCATGAAGGTAACCGAGGAATCCACAAAAAGAACAGGAGGACTTGTGGCACCTTAGAGACTAACACATTTATTTGAGCATGAGCTTTCGTGAGCCACAGCCCACTTCATCGGGAGGAATCCACGTTACGAGCCTGGATGGGAGTCGGGCTCCACGCAGAATCCCGCCCCTGAAAACAGCCACTCACAGCCAGGTCCCTTGGTCTCCCCCCTCCCTCCACTCTGTCTCTGTGACTTCACGGGCTCGTGCCTCAGTTTCCCCCTGTACAATGGTGATAACACCCACTTCTCTGCATTCTTCTGCCCAGGTGCAGCCCCATCCCCTGCTGCAGGGTTAGAGCTAGCTGTGATTCCTGCTCTCTCTCTCACCCAAGAGACAGCAGGGTACTAGGACAGGAGTCATTGACCATGTGAGCCCAGGTTTCCTTACACACCCAGCTGAGTTAATACACTTCAGTCCTGCCTTGCAGCACCCCCTTCTTTCCAGTGCCCCCATCCCCTGGAGCAGCCCCTGCAGCTGATCCCATCCTGGCTGGTGCAGCAGATTTATCAGAGATCGGTTGCACGACTTCCCTAGGGGACAGCCTGTCCCCCGCAGCCAGGAGATCTCTCACGTCACTGCTGCAAAGATCATTCTCCTATCCCACCGCATCACCCCTTTGAGTCCCTCCAGGGCTCCCCCTTCTCCATTGCACCAACCACAAACTGCTTGTCGGGCCCCTCACCACCTTCCCCCCGCCCCCGGGTCTGTCCTCTCTTGTTCACTATCACCATGTGGTTTCCCACCTCCCATCGGCCTGTGACACCAGCCTCACTTCTCACGTTTCCAAACATGCCCCTTTGTGCTTTTGCCCCTGCTCCCCATAAACGCCCACAAAGCCACCTCGTTATCCCTCCCCTGCCTGATCAGCTGCTGGGGAGCAGAGACCAGGGCCTGCCATGCTGACCAACAGCCTCTGCCCTACAGCAATACAAACCCTAACAGTGGGCTGCTGAGAGCCCCAGGCACCTGGCCCACCCCAGGGGAGGATCGGGGCACACAGAGATCGCGGCAGGTGGTTTTACTATCCCCCTAGCCCTGTACCAATAGGTCAGCCCCAGCCAGAGACAGCCCCTGGGTGCTACTAGAAGCAGAGTGGGCAGCGTGGAGGATACCCGGGGATCCTGGCCTTTCTCCTGGGGAGAGGGGAGGGCTGGAGCAAGTGCTAATTCCTTGCACACATCCCCTGCCATTGGGGTGTTCCTGGGCCTGCCTCCCTTTGATCCAAGGGCTGTACCCCGCCGAACCCATTCCCCATGTCTGCTCAGGCACAGCATCTGCCAGCAGGGAAGGCACCATTTCTACCCCCTGCCGCTTCTCCATGTTTCCTCTTTGGGCCCAGCCAGGCCCGGGCTGGGCTCTGGAGTCTCCCTCCCTTTTGGAAACCCTGAGCAAAGTCTGTTCGGTTGTTTGAGTTTAGCCGGGAGAGGGGCCATGACTCAGGCACACAGAACGCACCAGGGGAGGCGGGGGCTCTGCGGGAGCAAAGGGGCGCTTCCAGCCATCGGCCCCCAGGACGGAAAAGCAAAGGAACGTTCAACGACGGTGAAAGGCAACGTTCTAAACCGGGAAGCGGAAATTGAAGACAATTAGCCTGTGGAATTCCCTGCCACAAGATGCCATGGCTGTCAAGGGCGTAGAAGGATTCAGAGAAAGGGCAGGACGTCCCTAAGGACAAGGAGCAGCCGAATACAGTGGGAGGACAAGAGGCACAAACGCTCCTGCTTCACCGCAAAAGCCAACCACCAAGTGCGAGGGGGAGGGAAGGGTGCTCGGAAAGTAATTCCCACATTGTCCACTAGGGGAGGGGGGACGCTGGCGCTCAGGGCCGGGGCTGGGGACAGGGAGGCGGGTTTTAAACCGCAGCCGGCCCCAGCGCACCGCTAGGCTGGGAGCCGGGGAAAGGCAGAGGGGCAAGGCCCCCCCGCCCACACACACACCTGGAGCCAGAGGGGTTTCCCAGCAAAGCGCAGTCCGAACTCTGAACCTGCTGCTCTCCCCGGCAGAGCTTACCTCTCCATCATGGGGGGGTGGGAGAGGGGGTGCTGCTGGGACCCAGGGGAGGGGAGATGGAAGATCCAGGGGGGCCACCTTCCCCCGCCGCCAGCGTAGGCTGCTCCCTCGCGACCGGCCTAGCCGGGCAGAGCCAAAAGCCAGGGTCAGACGGCCTACTCTGAGTCAGACGGGCGATGCCGGGTTACTGCTCTGGCCACCATAGGAGACATGGCCCCTTCCGCCTCTGTCCTCTCGCTCCCACGCCCGGCCGCAGGTCTTGGAGGCTGCGGGCACAGGCCATGCCTGGAGGAAGGACACGGGACCCTGCGGGGAGCCCCGGGGCCAAGCCAGGAGCAGCCTGGCGTCTCCACTGAGCGAGGACACAACAAGCAGGTGTCGGGAAAGCCAAGCATGTGGCTCTGCCAGGGCAGACCCTGCAGCAGGCGGGGGAGGGAAGGGGCGGAGCGTCACGACGAGATAGCCAATCCCAGCCCACACCAACGGCGCAGTTGACACCCAATCGGAAACGTTTATTGCAAGGTGTAAATATCCCTTTACAGAGATGGGGTTTGGCTGGGGAACGAACCACTGTCCAGCGGGGGCAAGAGGGGACTCAAAGGCAGCCCAGACCCAGCACGACCCGGTGACACCCGGACGAGGCCCCAGCACCAGAGCCGGATCTCGGATGCCAAGGTCAAAGGTGCCATGTACACACCCGGCTCACCCGGGATATTGCACTGGGGAAAGGAGCCCTGGATTTTGGGGGGTGGTGACGAGGTTCTCTCTAAAACTTCCATGTGTAAAGGCAGCGAATATTAAAAAAAGGGCTTAACCCTCCCCCCTCAATGAATAGAAACGGGGGGGAGAGATGCCACCGCCCCACTCAGCACCAGGCCCCCGCCAGCACCGCAGGGCCAGCGCCCCAGAACTGCAAGGCGAAACTGACCAGAATCAGCCTGTGAAACCCAGCGCTCCAGCTGCTCTCTCCCAGCCCAGGCCTAAAGTCCCTTGGCAGACAGCAGCCTGGCATCTCAGAGGGTGCAACAGAGCAGGGGCCCAGACGGACCAACCAAAGGGCTGGTTCGCACAGTGTACGGAAATAGGGAACAAGCCCCAGAAACTCCCTCTACTGAGCAACAGAGCTGGGGCGCAGGGTTGGCAGAGCATCGGACACCAACGGCTTTGCAGGCTCGCCTCCAGGCGCTGGGGATCTCAGTGCCCAGAGCAGAGCACCCCCAGCACACTCAGGGCCCCATGCATCTCCCCAGTATCAGCCCTCCATGGCCCTGTGCGGGGGCAGGGCTCACCCCAATGCATCCCCTTAATGGGAGGGAGCCCCCCAAAAACCCGACAGGAACAAACAGCGAATTGACACGTAAACCAGAGAGGTCCCAGGAGAACAGCCGTCCGGGGGCAGGGCTCCAGTCGGGGGCAGGGCAGCGCCTGGGGACAAAGACAGAGGTGAGACCGGCAGCTGCTGCCCCCTTCACCCCCACCACGCAGGGCCAGCCTCTGCTTCCATTCAGGGCAGGGGGCTCTTGGTGCCTTGAACCAGAGCTCAGCCAGAGCTCACCCGACTGCAACCCCTCAGTGGAAGGGGCTGAAAGGTTCCCCCTCCTCACCCCCCAAATGAGCTCTTCCATCGGGTCTCTGGGAGCAGCTCAACCCCTGCCGGAAGCCGCTTCCCGGGCCAGGAACATGGGGGCCTCACAAGGCCACCCACGCTGCACAGCTCCCCCAGCAGCTAGGTGCAGGGTCCCCCCCATCCCAGCCAGGCCCCCATCCCCTGTACCTCTCAGCTACTGTCTCCTTTGCTCCTTCTTGGCTGGCATGACGGGGGCGAGCTCTTCCTCCTCCTCCTCCCCACTCTCCTCTTCCTCAGACAGTGCCCTCCTGTGCACTGGGACACACAGACAGGCCCCTTCCTTGTCACGCTCTCTATGCGCTGGGCCTTTCCCACACCGGGGCACCCTCTCCCCTCCCCATTCTCCCGGCTCTGCTTCCCCCAACCTCCTCGCTGCCCACAGCGGAGACGCACCCACAGGGGGGGGAAGTGAGGGGCCAGGGCCAGCTGCCAATGACACCATGCAACCAGCCCAAGCCCCTGAGTGCTCAGTGGGCAGCCCAGGGGGCAGCTCTGGGGCACGGTTATGGGGCCAGCCGCTCAACTGACCCACGCGCCCAGCCAGGCGGAGCGGGAGCTGGTTGGGGCAGATAACAGCACTCGGGCATCAGACTCTCCTCTGCAGACGCAGCCCTACTCGGGCAGTGACCTCTATGCAGGCAGCAGATTCCTCCCTCTCTCCGCCCCCCGGCCTCTCCCGAAGGAACCAGCCACCTGGACAGAGCCCCCAGTCGGCATTTCCTCCTGGGCCGCGTCCTCTTCCGCGCCCAGCACCCCCCCAGCTCCTTACTGATCTGGTGCCGCCCGGTGAGGTGCACGGGGCCGGAGCCGGATTTCAGGTGGAAGGTCACAGGTGGCTGGAGCTGGAAGTTGTCCAGGCTCAGCTGCGAAGAGACAGCGAGAAGCAGCGGAGTCAGCGGCAGGGCCTGAGCCTGGGGCTCCCCCACCGCAAGGAAGGGCTCTGGGCTGGCCCCGAACCACATGGTGCTTCCTGCCCAGGCTCCCGCAGCGCCTGAGGGGGCAGCGCAGCCAGTCAGGGCGGGCACCCTGCAGCCACGGCATTAAGGGCGGGGTGAATTTCAGTGAGCGAGGAACCACGGTGCAGGGAAAGAACACTGAAGTCAGGCAAGTTCCCACACGCACAGCCCTACCGGTGCCTCTCAATCCCAGCCGCCAGCCCCCTGCTAACCCAGCCCGGGGCTCCCCACTCCCCAGCTCGGTCCTGGGTCAAGCTCTCCTCTGATGCAGACAGGCAGCCCAGCCACCAGCTAAACCAGGGCTTGGGGCTGCAAAACCACCCTGCTGCCCCCCTGGAGGGGAAGGGGAGTCACACCCGTTGCAGCAGCATTTGGGTTTATCTCCTCTGTGGGGTCACACACAAACAGCTGAGCAGGTCCGATTCTGTAAAGCAGAGGGCCACAGTGAGCACAACCAGGTATGCTGGGTAAAAGGCCAGAGAACACACCCAAGGCTTACACAAATCCCCACATCCCCAGCCCCGGCAGGGATCGCCCCACGGGGCCCTCTTACCACGGGCTGGCACGACAGCTTCAGATTGGCCACCGGCACAGCAATCTCCTGGTTCTGACGGTTACGCCCCACAACTTCCACCACGTTGCATTCGTCCTTTGCGCCGCCCGTAAGGCAGACCTGGAAGGGACCAGAGCGAGGGGTTAATGGGGTGGCCACCTCAGGGGGAGACGGGGCATCCAACCAGGGTCTGACTGCAAAGGACGGCTTGTGCCTGAATCAACTTATCACAACCTGCAAATCAGGGTCCAGCCCCAGGATCAGACCAGTACATGGATGGTGCAAGCAGCCACCATGGCAGTGGATAGGCTTGTCTCTGGGACACCGAACCCTGCTGCACCAGGGCACGAGCCAACCACTGACTGACTGCGTTAGCTAGGGACTTCCCTCAGCGGCAGTTATTCCCTCACAGTCCACTAAGGGCTTCGTACACCTTCTCCTGAAGAAGCTGATGCTGACATCTGTCGACAGAGAGGACGCTGGAGCAGAGACGCTGCCAGCCTGGCAATTCCTCGGTGACGTGACTTGCCCAAGGGCGGACAGGAACATACAGGCAGAGCTCAGAACAGAACCCAGGCGCTGAGCTTGCTCTAACCACGAGCACATGCCCCAGGGGGGTTGAAACATGCCCTAGGAACGAGGGGCGCAGATAAATCAAGCAGACTGCACTGTGTCATGTGATTGCTCCCCCCAGCTCCCTAGAGCAGAGGTGGGCAAACTACGGCCTGCGGGACCGTCCTGCCCAGCCCCTGAGCTCCCGGCCAGGGAGGCTCGCCCCCCGGCCCCTCCCCTGCTGTCCCCTCTCCCCCACAGCATCAGCTCATCGCTGGCTGCCAGTCCTGCCACTCTGAGTGGCATGGTAAAGGTGCCGGGGGTGGAAGGGGGGGGTTGGACAAGGGTCAGGAACTCCAGGGGGGCAGTCAGGGAAAGGGGAACAGGGGAGGCTGGATAGGGCGTGGGAGTCCCGGAGGGCCTGTCAGGGAGCGGGGATGTGGATAGGGGGCGGGACAGTTGGGGGGGTTGGGGGCAGTGGGTCCTGGGAGGGGGTGGTCAGGGGACAAGGAGCAGGGGGGTTGGATGGGTCGGGGGTTCTGGGGGGGGAGGGCAGTCAGGGGACAGGGGGGTTGGATAGGGGGTAGGGTACTGGGGGGCAGTCAGGGGACAAGGAGCTGGGGGGGTTGGATGGGTCAGGGGTTCTGAGGGGGACAGTCGGGGCGGGAAGTGGCAGATAGGGGGCAGGGGCCAGGCTGTTTGGGGGGGCACAGCCTTCCCTACCTGGCCCTCCATACAGTTTCGCACCCTGCTGTGGCCCTCAGACCAAAAAGTTTGCCCACCCCTGCCCTAGAGTGACATGGTTTCCTCGCTTGCACCGCTCTCTCCGGACCGCCAGCGCTCTGCAGGATCCGGTGTAAGGGGAAGAAGATGCCGTGAGCTGCCCGTGGCGGCCCGCTCTGGCTGAGCGGCAGCCCTCCTCTGCTGTACAAGAGGCAGGGCCTGAACGTGAGCTGCGTTCGTCCCACGTCCTGCCTCCACCAGAAGCCGCGGCTGCATGCTGCCGAGCCCGAGCGGGACCCGGGCCGGGGAGAGGGAAGGACAGCACAGAAGCCAGCCAGAGAAGGTAAGCGACATGAGCCCTGTCCTCAGAGCCAGGGTTCCCTCTTACCATAGACAGGGCCAGGATGTGCTCAGAGTCGTCATCTTCATCCACCTTAAAGGTGTAGGATCTGGTGCTGCCAGTCAACTCGCAGCCTGGGGAATCCACGTGAGGAGTCAATAAAACCGAAGGAGCTGGGTACTTCCCCCTAAAGATCCATGGGGAGACACTAGGGCCGCGCTGAATCCCCAGCTCTGGCCGCCCTACGTTCCCTCCTGCGGCTCTAGCTGGAGGCTGGCTGTGAGTCACCCCAGAGCCAGCTGCATTCCAGTGGTCTGAGAAGGAGCCCCAGCCCGTCCGCACAGCCGGGAAGGGTGGCACTGGGCCTCCTTTAGGCGACGAGAGCTGCCGCAATGCACTGCACCCAGTGCTCTGCGTGGCTCTGGGCCAGCAGCACCCCAGTGCCGGGCTCCTGCTCCAAATAGCTCCCAGCAGGTTCGCCATGTGGGGCACCTCCAGAGCCCCTCCCCAGCGCTTGGCTGCAATGAGATAACGGGCCAGCGGGCTGCGGGGAGCCCCCCAGCTATCGGGGAGGGAGCGAACAGCCATCGCGGGGCCGGGAGCAGCTGGAGAAAGGCACCACCCGGTACCTGAGCTCTCATAGCTAAGGGCAAGCGTACCGGCAGGGCAGCCTGGCCCCCCAGTTCCTCCATCTCAGCTGGATCCCTCCCCTGCCCCGTGGGGCCCATCACAGCGTGTCCCCAGCCAGGCCTCCCTCTATACCCCAGCCTCCACGAACCCCCAGTCCTCCCTGCCCCCAGACACTCCCCCCTTCCCCACCCTGACCTGCTGCCTTCCCTGCCCCACCCTAAATACACCACCCCCACCTAAATTGCCTGTAAGCTGTGTAGCCTATTTACGCAGTGCAGGCGCCCAGGGAACCCACCGGGGGACCTGCCAAGGCCAGAGGAGGGGGCATCCTGCCCCCGGCCCCCAGCTTGCCACAACGACGCAGCGTGGCCCGGCCCCACGTGCAGCCCTCCCCCAGCTCGGACCCCCACACCTCTGCCCCTCATCCCCGGCCCCACCCCAGAGCCTGCACCTCCAGCTGGAGCCCTCACACCCCAACCCTCTGCCCTCAGCCCCCTCCCACACTGCGAACCCCTCAGCCCCACCCCCACCACATGGATTTTGTTAGGTGCAGTGAGGTGCCCCACCTCATCTCCTTCTGAGCGCACATCAAATTAATTCCACACATGGGTGGGAAAAGTTTGAGGGAAAACTGCCCCTACTCCTCCCCGCCCCCCAACTCCGATTCCCTGCCTCGCCCCAAACACACAGAGACCCAGAGCTTCTCCCCCGACAGGTGGGCTCCCAGCCTCAGGCCAACTCCCCACGTGTGCGCTCCCCTGCCCCCCCCCCCCGCGTGTGCGCTCCCCACCCCCCTCCTAGCGGCCCAGCCCCCCCCCCGCGTGTGCGCTCCCCGCCCCCCTCCTAGCGGCCCCAGCCCCCCCCCGCGTGTGCGCTCCCCGCCCCCCTCCTAGCGGCCCCAGCCCCCCCCCGCGTGTGGGCTCCCCGCCCCCCTCCTAGCGGCCCCAGCCCCCCCCCGCGTGTGCCGCTCCCCAGCCTCGGCTCCCCACGTGTGCGCTCCCCGCCCCCCTCCTAGCGGCCCCTGCCCCCCGCGTGTGCGCTCCCCGCCCCCCTCCTAGCGACCCCTGCCCCCCACGTGTGCGCTCCCCGCCCCCCTCCTAGCGACCCCTGCCCCCCACGTGTGCGCTCCCCGCCCCCCTCCCTAGCGGCCCCTGCCCCCCACGTGTGCGCTCCCCGCCCCCCTCCTAGCGACCCCTGCCCCCCACGTGTGCGCTCCCCGCCCCCCTCCTAGCGACCCCTGCCCCCCACGTGTGCGCTCCCCGCCCCCCTCCCTAGCGGCCCCTGCCCCCCACGTGTGCGCTCCCCGCCCCCTCCTAGCGACCCCTGCCCCCCACGTGTGCGCTCCCCGCTCCCCCCCCCCTCCTAGCGGCCCCTGCCCCCTACGTGTGCGCTCCCCGCCCCCCTCCCTAGCGGCCCCTGCCCCCCACGTGTGCGCTCCCCGCCCCCCTCCTAGCGGCCCCTGCCCCCCACGTGTGCGCTCCCCGCCCCCCCTCCTAGCGGCCCCTGCCCCCCACGTGTGCGCTCCCCGCCCCCCTCCTAGCGGCCCCTGCCCCCCACGTGTGCGCTCCCCGCCCCCCCTCCTAGCGGCCCCTGCCCCCCTACGTGTGCGCTCCCCGCCCCCCTCCTAGCGGCCCCTGCCCCCCACGTGTGCGCTCCCCGCCCCCCTCCTAGCGACCCCTGCCCCCCACGTGTGCGCTCCCCGCCCCCCTCCTAGCGGCCCCTGCCCCCTACGTGTGCGCTCCCCGCTCCCCGCCCCCCTCCTAGCGGCCCCTGCCCCCCACGTGTGCGCTCCCCGCCCCCCTCCTAGCGGCCCCAGCCCCCCGCGTGTGCGCTCCCCAGCCCGGCCCGGCTCACCGAAGACGAAGTTGCCGAGACAGAGCCCGGCCCCGGCCGCCCGGCTCTCCGGCTCCAGGAAGGCGGCCATGGCTGCCGTGGAAGGCCGGGCTGGGGAAGGGACGGATGCGGAAGGCGGGGCGGGGCGGATCGGATCGGATCGGCGCTGCCCAGAGCCCGAGGAGCCGCCCGCTTCCTCCCTGTGCCCTGGCCCGCCCCTCGCCGAGCCGGGGAGGCCCCCGGTGCCGCCTCCTCCGGGGAGGCGCCCGCCCGCCCCCAGCACAAAGCAGCCAGGGAGCCGTTCTCCGGGGGACCCCCAGCCAGCCAGCCGGGGGGTCTCAGCCCTCGCCGCGCCGGCAGCCACCCACAGCTGCAGCGGGGGGCAAAACAGGTGCGAGGCAGGAGCAGCGCCGGGTCCCAGCGAGCCCAGCCCTGGGGGCGCCTGCCCAAGGCCCAGCTCGCTGAGCCGGGCTCGGCAGGGACCTGGGCTGTTTCCTCCCCGTTTTGCTCGGGCCCAGGGAAGGCGGCTGGGTTTACCGCCCGGCCACGGAACAAGACACTTATGCTAAACATCGGTCACAGGCCCCAGACCTCATGAGGGAGGCATTTTAGCTTTCGCCCAAAGCCCTTTCGCCCCATCTTCACAAACGTCCAACACGTTCAGCCTTTGGGCTGAAAGTTTCCCGCTTTGGCTCCGGCCCAGCAGGAATGTATGTGTAGCTGTTCATGGGGGACAGGCCAGATCCAACACCCAGATTGTCCAGCACATCCCCCCTTACACAGCTCCGGGCCAGGTGCCTGGAGGGTCTGAGAGCCCCTCAGGAGCAAATTTGCCCACCAGCGTCTCAACATTAGACGAAAAAAGAAAAGGAGTACTTGTGGCACCTTAGAGACTAACCAATTTATTTGAGCATGAGCTTTCGTGAGCCACAGCTCACTACATTAGACCTCATCCTGACCTCTACTAGTTAAAGATTGGCTTAAAATGCGTACAGATTTTCATAGGGGAGAGTGCGTTCTGTTTGATAAGACACATTCAAATGTGATTGATAGCTACAAACATAAATATCAAAATAGATGTTGCCATTCTCCATATAAATGCCCCATTTGAATGTGCTCTGTGCCTCAGAGTCCCCACCTTAAAGACTTAGGTGGTGGAATCTCCTTCCTTTGAAGTTTTTAAGGTCAGGCTTGACAAAGCCCTGGCTGGGATGATTTAGTCGGGGTTGGTCCTGCTTTGGGCAGGGGGCTGGACTAGATGACCTCCTGAGGCTCCTTCCAACAGGGATGTTCGATGATTCTGTGAATTATTCAGAGTTTGAAATTTGGCCTGGACAGAGTCTCTTTTCCTTGGGTAGGGGATCAAAGTTCAAAAGGAAGTTCTGAGGGGTTGAAAAGTCACTTTTTAAGCACGGCTGGTACAGACGCAGGAGACAGATTAGGAGAGGGAACTCACAGAACACACACATGCAGCTAAATGCAAACAAAGGAAAACAGGCTTGGCCTCAGAACAAGGGGAAAGGGCAGGAGGGAAAAGTGTGCTTCGTGCAGGTTTAAATGGTTTTCAGTCCTTGGTGCGTGCAGCGGTGTTTCCGTGCAGGGTGCTGTTCAACCACTCCATGACACAGCGTGGTGCACAGTTCTAGGCAAGGGGTTGTCCCTGGTAAACAAAGCAGAGACTCAAGCTGCGGGGAAGCGTGTCACTATTTTCTTGAATACACTCCTATTTAAGATGGACGGAGGCCATAGATCATGACACTGAAAACAGTAATAATATCTAGCTCTTACAGAGTGCTTTTCATCTGTAGATCTCAAAGCAATTTGAAGGTAAGCATCGTTATTCCCATTTTACAGGTGGGGAAATTGAGGCACCAGATGGTTAAGTGACTTGCCCACGATCACCCCAGTGGCCAAGCCAAGAATAGAAGCTGGGTCTCCCAAGTGTCAGTCATAGAATATCAGGGTTGGAAGGGACCCCAGAAGGTCATCTAGTCCAACCCCCTGCTCGAAGCAGGACCAATTCCCAGTCCAAAACCTCTGTCTACCAGGCCATATTGTTTTCCCTTGCTTCCCTGTAGAGCTCGCACCAAGCTCCTGCCACAGCTCCCCATCACCTCTCTCTCTCTCTCTGTACAGAGTTAAAGAAACACTATAAAACCTTCTATTTATTCTGTATACTGGCTGAGCACGTCCCGTTTCAATTGCAGGTCTACTCGACAGCGTAGCTTAGGACACACGATTAATATAAAAGGAGGACTTGTGGCACCTCAGAGACTAACCAATTTATTTGCGCATAAGCTTTCGTGAGCTACAGCTCACTTCGGGGATCGGTCCTGCTTTGAGCAGGGGGTTGGACTAGATGACCTCCTGAGGTCCCTTCCAACCCTGATATTTTATGATTCTATGGCTGCAACTCTGAAACCTACGATTAATATAGTTGTACTAACAGTATGCGTGAGGCACAGAAGTATCCAGGCAGTGGCTTGCTCTGGTCAGATTCTGCATTGGGGAACTGCCTTCCTAAGATTCATTTGGATAATGTTGTCGGTACTTCCTACACTAAACCTTTCACCAGGAAGGACACAATTGAGTTGGTCTAAAAAACAGTCCTATGTACTAATCCTGGTTCTGCCACAGATTCCATGAGCAGCCTCAGATGGACCATAACATTGGTCCATGCCTAAGTTTCTCCAGGTGTAAAGCAGAGGTATAACTCACCTATTACACCAGAGTGGTGGTGAAGCTTTTCGTTTTACAAACCTGCAGCTGAGAAGCTCTATATAAGAACGTAGGACTTGCCAGACGGAACAGACCCAAGCTCCATCTAGCCCAGTAACCAGTTTTCAATAGGGGGCAGTACCTGATATTTCAGAGAAAGGGACAGAAACCCCACAGTAGCAGATGTAAGTTAATCTGGCCCAGAACCCCATTAAAGTCTCATCTGAATGCCTGAAAGCGTGAGGTTTTCTATCCCTGCCAAAACTTCCCCCTCCTGTTAGCATTGACTGTTATAACGCTGGATATTCTTGTTATCCATATAAGCATCCCACTTCAAAGCTAAATTCTTGGCCTCAACAACGTCCAGTGGCCTTGAGTTCCAAAGTCTAAATACACATCATGTCAAAAGTATTTCCTTTTGGCAGTTGAGTTTGCCACCTTTCAATTTCCCAGAACATCCCCCAGGGTATTATTACTGATGCTGTTAAAACAGCTGCTGTGTTCTGCCACAGAAGTGGCTGGAAGGCTGGACCTCAGTGGTAAATACAGTAATTACTGTATATACAGAGCCTGATCCTGGCAAAACCTGCATGCAGGACTCCAGCAGAAGTTTCCAGGAATAGGGTGGGGTTGGGTGGGAGGAGCAGGTGAAGGTTTCTATATTCAGGTCAACAGTTTGTAGCTAGTAAAGGTGCTAGCCAGTAGCAAAGCCTGTAAAGGACTTTAAGACCCATCCAGGCAGTGCTCTAGGAATCCAGGATGATGAGTATTACTCACCTGTCTCAGCTCCATAGGATGCAGGAGTCTTAACTTTACCGCCAGAGTGGATCTGCAGCCAGTTGCCACCCTAGCGCTGATCACAGGCCTTGGCTGCCTGTGGAGAGCTAGATCCATGTAAGAATGCACCCCAGGAACGTAACGGCTTTGCTGCTAGCTGGTGATTTAAAAACCAAACAGCCACACAGAGCAGTTCACCTCCTCGCTCATGCCTCGGGGCACCCTGCCGGCTTCACAAAGGAAAAAGGTCCTTTCTAGGTGGACTCACTTGATTTAGCAGCTGTGTTGGGGCAGGAGGGGGTATCTGGTGAAACATCATATTTATAGTATTTTATTTCCTCTCAATAAAACCCGAAGAGTTATTACCCCGCTGGGACCCTAATGAGTTTTCCTGGTAACTGGCCTCTTCTGTCCGAGGTTGAAGGAGAAGAGACGGGGGAGCGGTGAGGGGAAGGAGGAAACCTCAGACTGCTGGGAATGGTGAGTGAGGGGAGTAGCCAAACAGCCACCCACAAGATGGAAGACTTTGCTGGGTCAGTCTCTTCCTGCCCTCGGTGTATGGCCAGAGCTAGAGCTTCTGGAGACTCGTATCTTTAGCTACTCCGGAGATCAATCCAGACAATGACGGCACCACGGTTTCTGCGTTGTCCTGGCTCTGTACGCCATGCTGTCCAGGCCCCAGCAGCCGCCAAACCCATCTGCCTGCTGTCTCCATCTCAGCCTAGCGGGATTGCTGTTTCACCCGTCACCGTGGTAGATGAGCAGTGTAGCATGCAGATGTCTGTCAGGATGCACAGTATCAAGGATGATACTTCACTCCAGCCACCGTCCCCTAATGCCAGGTCTTTGACCCCGTGAGAAAGGAACCTGCAGGGGCAAGGCAGACCAAGGGAAGAACCAGCCAAGGCAGATGGATGATCAGAAAGCTGAGGGGTGGGAGGGGTCTCTGTTGGTTAAGGGAAGGTAGCAGCCACTGCGCCTCCATCCATGTCAGTGAAGTGAAGGGAGCTGCTGGACTTGGCTCCTCTCTGTTCCTTTAGTAAATAGGACTGGCACCTTTAGGGAGAAGGGTGGCCTTGAGTCTAAAGACAAGGGACTGGGGAATCTGAGTTCTCCTTCTGGCTCTGTCACTTCATCGCTGTCTGAGCTAGGACAAAAGGCCGGGCCTCAGTTTCCCCACCTGTAAAACACCCTGGTCTCTCACACAGGAGCGTTATGGGGCTAACGTCACCATAGCAGGGAGAGCATGTTGCGAGCCCTGGATGGCTGGAACTGTGGCAATGCAAAGTAGTGTTCTTACTGATCACAGCAGTGCCCATAGGTAAGGGGGCCCAGCAAGACTGAGGCAGATGAGAAGACACTACCTGGTTCTTCTGGAGGCGCTGGCTGAGATAGGGTGAATCCGTGCAGCAGCAATGAGCTCACACCACATTCTGTTCGGCTATCACACTCCCGCTGGAGGAGAAAGCCGCCGTTTGTGCCATTCCAGCTGGAGTCCATTCAACGAAGACATAACTAAGAGGGATGAGGAGCCAAGCCCAGCCACAGAAAGAGGCCGTAGTTCACTGGCTGATGGTTATACCAAGGGGGTTTATGATACTTGCAAACATATTGGATTTCTAGTAGCTGCTTCCCTCTGCCATCTGGCTAATCTGGAGGGGTCATGCACAGGC